ACGATGATAATGCTGATGCTAATGCTGATGATGATGCTGATGATGATGGTTTTCCCACCTCTTCCCCTATTCAATGTCGCATGCTTCCCTCGCCTCAGGAGACGGATGGGGAGGATGAGGTTGAAGAGGATGATTGGGGAGAGGGAGGATAATGACGAGGATAATGATGCCTAGGATGGTGAGGGCAATAATGATGCGGCGGAGGATGACGAATATAGTAATGGAGAGGACGAGGAGGAGTACGACGATCATCTATACGAGGATGATAAGAATGGGGAGGGCAAGGATGTGGATGATGGGGATGACGATAATGCACATACGTATGATGAGTAGTCTTATGTTCGCAGTGTTGAGTGAGTGCGATCGCCCTCCTTGTCCTCCATCCTCCTCCCTCTCCCCTCTGCCTTCTCCTCGATCTGCTCCCCATCTTCTCCCCCTTCTGCCTCCTTCTCGTCCTCCTCCCCCTTTTCTCCCCCCGTTCTCTCCCGTCATCCGCGTTCTGTCCCCATCCAGAGGGAGGGAGGGGGAAGCGACGATACTGACGATGACGATGATAATGGTAATGATGATGATGATGATGATGATGATGATGATGATGCTGCTGATGATGCTGACGATGCTGACGATGCTGATTAGGCTTACGTCGATGATGAAACTGATGGTGCCGATACTGTTAGTGGTGATGATGATGATGATGAACCTAATGATGCTGATGAAGATGGTGGCACTGGTGATGACGATAATGATGATGTTGACTATGATAATGCTGATGATGACGATGATTATGATGATGATGCGGATGATGATGATGCTGATGATGATGATGATGCCGATGATGTTGATGCTGATGCTGATGATGATAATGAGCATGATGCTGATGACGAGGTTGATGGTGATGAGCATTATGTTTATGAGTGTGACGCTGACAATGACCATGGTTATGAGAGTGATGATTATTGTTACGATGTTGACGATGATGACTGTAATGATGATCACGATGATGGTGATGCTGCGAACTATGATAATGATTACCATGATGGTTTTGACGACCATGAGCATGATGATACATTTGGTGTGTTTACATGCTTATGACGACGATGCTCAACATGAGGGTGGCTGTGATGATTTTGTTGACGATGGTGATGGTCATGATGGTGAGAACGATGATAATGCTGATGCTAATGCTGATGATGATGCTGATGATAATGGTTTTCCCACCTCTTCCCCTATTCAATGTTGGAACCTGTATGTCGCATGCTTCCCTCGCCTCAGGCGACGGATGGGGAGGATGAGGTTGAAGAGGATGATTGGGGAGAGGGAGGATAATGACGAGGATAATGATGCCTAGGATGGTGAGGGCAATAATGATGCGGCGGAGGATGACGAAGATAGTAATGGAGAGGACGAGGAGGAGTACGACGATCATCTATACGAGGATGATAAGAATGGGGAGGGCAAGGATGTGGATGATGGGGATGACGATAATGCACATACGTATGATGAGTAGTCTTATGTTCGCAGTGTTGAGTGCGATCGCCCTCCTTGTCCTCCATCCTCCTCCCTCTCCCCTCTGCCTTCTCCTCGATCTGCTCCCCATCTTCTCCCCCTTCTGCCTCCTTCTCGTCCTCCTCCCCCTTTTCTCCCCCCGTTCTCTCCCGCCATCCGCGTTCTGTCCCCATCCAGAGGGAGGGAGGGGGAAGCGATGATACTGACGATGACGATGATAATGGTAATGGTAATGATGATGATGATGATGATGATGATGATGATGATGATGATGATGATGATGTTGATGATGATGATGATGATGCTGACGATGCTGATTAGGCTTACGTCGATGATGTAACTGATGGTGCCGATACTGATAGTGGTGATGATGATGAACTTGATGATGCTGATGAAGATGGTGGCACTGTTGATGACGATAATGATGATGTTGACGATGATGACGATGATGATGATGATGATGCGGATGATGATGATGATGCTGGTGATGATGATGATGATGATGATGATGATGATGATGATGATGATGATGATGGTACTGGTGACGGCGATCATGTTGATGCTGACTACGATGACGATGATGATGATGATGATGATGATGATTTGTTTCCTCGACGTCAGGGCTAAGAGTAGATGACTTGATACATCATTTGAGCTAAAAATGTTCAGGCCCGTCGCAGAGAGACAAAACTCTCGGTTGACCCCGCATGGGGCGACACTCTATGGGTGCTGCACAGGGGGGCGGCATGCCATCGAGTGGGGATTACAGCTGCATGACCTCAGCAGCTTCTTCCTCTGCGGCGAAATCGGCCTCATCGAGGTGCTCAAGAACGAAACTGTGTGGCTGTGTGTCAGGCGCTGGTCTGGCTACAGCTGGGGCAGGCGGCGAGTCAGGCGGTGGCCTAATATACTCAGGTGATGAAGAGGACGATGGTCGGGACGATCTTCGTGCCGTTATCGTGCCTGGCAGGACTCCACCTCGCAAGAAATTTATTCGTGGTCGAGCGTCTCCAACCAGTGCCCGACCTCGTCCTCGACGCTTCGCTTCGCGTATCCCCACCAGCCCATTCAGACGCCCTGCCGACGAGAGCTCACGGGAAAAAAGGGACGAAGTGGGGCACGGCGGGGCAGCCGCAAGCCCTTGCTTCATGAAGAAGGGGCGAAGAGGAAGATGGCAAACCTCCTCCTCCTCCTCCTCCATTCCTCCTCCTATTCCTCCTCCTCCTCGTCATCCTCATCCCCCTCCTCCTCCTCCTCCCCCTCCTCCTCTTCACACGAAGAAGGGGCAAGCCCCTCCTTCATGTGAAGAGGGAAGTGACAACACAAGTACGAAGATGACGAGCCTCAGAGCTGCGAGGAGGACTGCGAGGAAGAGACGGAGCAGGAGGAACACAACACATGGAGGGGCAGTGATGATGAACAGGAGGATGCGGCGGAGAAGGAGCTCCTCCAATCCGCCCGCCCACCCTGCCCGTCCTGCTGCCCCTCCCCCGTCCGCCACTCGCCCCTGCTACTTTCCCCTCCTGTCTCCTCCTCCCCGGGAATGGCGTATGGGGCGTCGTGGTCGGGAGAGGGGGGGAGGAACAGGAGGAGGGGGAGGAGCAGGCGCGGAGCACGAGGACCCAGAGGAGGAGGAAACGGAGGAGGAGGAGGCGGAGGACAATGAGGAGGACGAGGAGGAGGAGGAGGAGGAGGAGGAGGAGGAGGAGGAGGAGGACAAGGAGGAGGAGGGAGGGATGGGGGGGGGATGGGGGAGGGGGAGGGGGGGGGGGGGGGGGAGAAGGGGGGGAGTACGAGAAGGAGGAGGAGGAGGAGGAGGCGGAGGAGGAATGCGACGAGGACGAGGACGAGGATGAGGAGGAGGAGGAGGAGAACGAAGAGGAGGAGGAAGTGGAGGAGGAGGACGAGGAGGACGAGGAGGAGGAGGAGGAGGAGGAGGAGGAGAAGAAGGAGGAGGGGAAGGAGGAGGGGGAGGAGGAGGAGGAGGTGGGGAGGAGGAGGAGGAGATGGGGAACAGGGGGAGGAGACGGAGGGAAACGAGAAGAAGACAGAGGAGGAGAAGGAGACAGAGGAGCAGGCGGAGCAGGAGGAGGAGGAGGCGGAGGAGGTGGAAGAGGAGGGAGAGGAGGAGGAGGAGGAGGAGGAGCCGGAGGAGGAGGCGGAGGATGAGAAGGAGGAGGGGGAAGAGGAGGAGGAGGAGGAGAGGAGGAGGAGGAGGAGGAGGAGGAGGAGGAGAAGGAGAGGGGGGGGGGGAGGGGGAGGGGAAAGGGGGAGGGGGAGGGGGAGGGGGGGGGGAGGGGAGGGGGGGGGAGAGGGGGAGGGGGACGGGGAGTGGGAAGAGGAGGAGGAGGAGGAGGAGGGGAGGAGGAGGAGGAGGAGGAGGAGGAGGAGGAGGAGGAGGAAAAGTAGGAGGAGGATGGCGATGATGAGGAGGAGGAGGAGGAGGAGGAAGGAGGAGGAGGAGGAGGCAGGAGGAGTGAGGAATGCTGGGAGGAGGAGGAGGAGGAGGAGGAGGAGAGGAGGAGGAGGAGGAGGAGGAGGAGGAGGAGGAGAGAGGATGAGGAGGAGGAGGAGAGGAGGAGGAGGAGGACAACGAGGAGGAGGAGGAGAAGAAGGAGGACAGCGAGGAGGAGGAGGAGGAGGAGGAGGAGGACCCAGAGGGATTGGATGAGCTTGCGGGTGAGGGAAGGAATAGTAACAGGCCGAAGCAGGCGAGCATGAACGCATGCGGAGGAGTAGGAGACGGATCGAGAAGCAGAGGAGGATCTAGTAGAGAGGATGGGGCTGGAGACGGGGGGCGACGAGAGGGCGGAAGCAGGTACGTGGGAGGGAGGTGGGTGGAGATAAGGAAAACGAGGACGAGCACGACGTCACGTCGGATGTGAATCGATATCTGACGGTTGCGCCTTTGCTGTTAATCCGTGTTATTTATGTTGTTGTACGATCTTGGGGGGTCAGGGGAGGGTCTCGTACGCGTTTTAGGCTTGACTGTGCCATTCTGAGGATTCCTGGAGACGGTTTGGGGGCGTCAGTTGCCGAACGGGCCATCTCGGATGAGTGGTGAAGACGTGTTGTTGGATCGCGAGCTGGGTTAGTTTTTTTGTGTTGGGTGGGCTCTTCTGTGACACCAGAATGGGACCACTGAGCGTTGTGGTCGTGCGTCCCTAGTTCTTGCCCAGCTCTTTGTGTTGACCCCGATCTTGCTTCTGCTCTGTGCCTGCTCCTGTGCGCCACGCTCCGTCTCGAAACAGTAGGCGAAGCGACGCTCCCATCACCGACTGGCCACACGCTGAGCAATGCAACCTAGCCTGTCTCTCGAGCTTTCGTTTTGGAAGGGCAACACACCACCTAGGCGTTGAGCCTAATTCGTTTGCCGGTGCGATTCTCTTTCTCGATACTGGGTTGCCTTTCTTTCTTTCTCCTCTTTCATGTGTCTCTTTCCCCTACTCCCCCATTCCATCTGTATCTTTCTCTCCTTCCCCCCCACTCTCCAGGTTGAGACTGCCGTGGAGATAGCCAAGTCCATCAGCTTGTTTGATCGAGGATCTGTTTGCCAGTTTGTGGCCTGTCGCGCTCGTTCTACCCTGCAACGCTCACCCTCGCCCCCCCCCCCCCCCCACCCCATGCTAGCATGCGGGGGAGGATGACGGAGTGAGGGGCGGAGGGAGGAGGAGGGTGATCAGGCGCGGAGCACGAAGACCCAGAAGAAGAGGAGGAGGAGGAGGAGGAGGAGGAGGCAGGTGAGGAGGAGGAGGAGGAGGAGGGGGGGAGCAGGAGGAGGAGGAGGAGGAGGAGGAGGAGGAGGGGGAAGAGGGAGGAGGATGAGGAGGAGGAGGAGGAGGAGGAGGAGGAGGGGGAGGGGGGGCGGAGCATGTGTGTGTGTGTGTTCGGGGTTGCCGTGGTGAAGGGGTGAGCGCGGGGTGGCCGCCGTGCTCACGAGGCCACGCCTCCAGGAGAACGGCTCGGGCAGCACACGTCCGTCGACTCGGCTGCTGGGCCTTGCCGCAGCCATCGTCGGTGTCATCGAAATCGTACAGTCGGGGCCCTGAAGAAGGAACCCTTTTCGTTGGGGAGGGGCTCCGCGTTCCTTAAATGTTTCGCAGCTTGCCTCAGGTTTTCCTTATGTTTTCGGTCGGAAATCGAAGTTCAACTTATGGAGCAAAAAAGGGGCCTCGTTCCTTATTTTGGGCTCCTTAGGTCAAAGCCCCGACTGTATGGTACCGTCGTCGAGCGTGGCCATTTCTAATACTCAGTGTGCTCGGCTGCTCCCACTCCGGAGGTTACGGTGCCACTATCTATCCAAGCCAGATGGCGGCAGGCAGCCACGTGCCAGCCGCGGGGCAACCACGCGGGACAAGCACAACGCACAATGGAATGGCACAGCACTGGAAATTGCACGGGGCAGCCACCGTGCGACTTCGGTCAACGTTTTTTCGGCCTGTTTTATCTTTTCAGACTGTCAACTCTTCTGATGCGCCTGCATCGGAGATTGGAGGGTGAGGTCGGGGCGACCCCAACCAGGACATCTGTTTCCGGTGTGGTATACGTCGTGCTTGCAGGCAATGGCGAAGTTGCGCGGGGGTGACGATGTGGCGGCATAGCTGGGACCATTCGCATAAGTTTCTCGTTCGACTGCGCGCTTTCCCACCGTGGTGACCGTGGTCGTCCCGCAATTGTCCCGTGGGTTGTCTCGCGTTTGTTCCGTGGGGTGTTTTGTGGTTGTCCCGTGGGTTGTCCCGCGGGTTTCCCGCGGGTTGCCCCGCGGCCCGTGGTCGGAGCGCTAGTTGCCGCGTGGGTAGCTGCTAAGCGAAAAGCGGAAGCAATGGCAACCGTAATGCACATCAGCACGCAAGTCAAATAATTGCAACGTCATTTCGAACGTACGTCGAAAACGAACATCGGCATGCAGTTTCTTGACGCTTCGCGTCTCCACACCAGCGTCCGTAGCCTTTAGCTCAAGTCGTCTCCTGGGGGCGTTCCTCCCCCCAGGGTCAGGGCTCGAGCACGCCCCCGGCCAGGCGCGGGCCCGCCCGGCGCCGATGGCGTCTGCTGCGGCGCGACGCCGGCGGCAGCGGGCGGCCGCCTGGGCTGCTCGCGTCGCTGGCGCCGCTGGCGCGGCTGGCGCCGCCGGTGCCGCCGGCGCCGCGGCTGCCGCGGCCGCCGCAGGCGCCGCCGCTGCTGGTGCACCGCCGCTGGCGCCGCCGCGGACGCCCGAGCCGCGGCTGGCGCCGCCGGCGCTCCCTGCGTCGCGGCTGCCGCGGGCGCCGCCGACGCAGCTGGCGCCGCATGGGCCGCTGGCGCTACCGGCGCCGCCGCGGCGCCTGTGGGCCTGCCCGCCAGCACGGCGGCTGCCGCGGCCGCCGCAGGCGCGCCTCCGCCGCTGCCGGCTGCGCGGCTGGCGCCGAGGCAGCCCTGGCTCGGGCTGCCGCGCTGGGGCCCGCGGCCGCTCGCGCCGCTGCCGCCGCCGTTGTTCCCCGACTATACCTGGGCCTGAGCGGGAGCTGGAGCTGAGGGAGTTTGAACGGGAGCTGAAACAGGGGGAAGCGGTGGTTCCTCCGTCACAGACGTGACGACGGAGGCCGCGGTCATCCGCATATGTTCGATGTGCTTGCGACGATCAGCCGCCACCCTTAGGAAGACCGCTTGCCCGATACAGTTGCGATGGTCGGTCGTGCTGCCAGCCGCGAGTCCTCCTGTTCCTCTGCCATCGTGGCCGTCAGACGCCCGCCTAAGGAAGGGCCTGGGGACGCGTCGCACCAAGGCAGTGTACTTGCGACGATCAGTCGCGCCCCTGGGGATGACGCTGGTGCGAACGGTGCGCCAGCTCTGCCCTGTCGCGACCCTGGGGAGGCACCTGGCGGAGACGACGGAGGCCGTGCTTCAGATGGAACGATCGAGAGCGGCGCTCCAGGAAGCATTGCGACCGGAGCCCTCGGCCACGCCATCCTGCGCCCCCTCGAGCCGGTTCGATCCGATCGCAACTGCCTTCGGTCCGCCGCTACCCGTTGCGGAGAGTCGCGAGGCCCCTCTTCATTTTGTGCTCGCGGCGATGAATCTTGGAGCGTTGCGAACCGTGACAATGCGCTTGCGGCGATCAGTCGCGCGCCCAGGGTGGGAGACGGCAGCGACTTCCGGGTCCATCCGCCACCTCCTCAGGAGAGTCCCGAGGCCCTGCTTCCGCGTGTAATTGCGGCGATCAGTCGCTCCCGCAGGGGAGAATCGACGGGCGTTGCAAAACGTGACAATGCGCATGCGGCGATCGCTCGCACGCCCAGGGTAGCAGATGAGAGAGAGACGAAGCTCCTCCCCTCTCACGCGACACACCAGGGGGGCATCGGACAGCGGCATCACTCCCACTGTTCCCTCTGGCCCCCCAGGGGCCTGACAAGGGCCCGAAGGCGCATCTGCCGACCGCGCCGACGGCGACGGCGACGCTGACGCCGACGGCGACGGCGACGACCCCGACGACGCCGACGCCGACGCCGACGACCTGGGACCTGGGGAAAGATGCCGACGACGACGAGCACGACCTCGCCGCCCGCGGGATGGGGTCTGGCGCTCGGCAACGTCGACGGCCTGGCGGGCTCTGACAGGCGGCAGACGACCGACGACGCCGACGCTGACGACGACGCTGACACCGATGCCGACGAGGAGTTGACCTTGCGCGGCGTATGGTCGGGCTGAGCGACGCGCGCCTCGAGCAGGCGGTCAGATCGCTCTCCGATGGGCTCGGAGGGCCAGGGGCCTCGCGAGCTCGCGGACGTGGCCGCAGCGGGGCGCAGGCGTCTTTACGCCGGCGCGGAGGCCGCGCGCGGCGCCGCGGCAGCCGGGCCCCCCCCCCCCCCCGGGCACCGCAGCCCGCGCAGGCGGCGGCGGCAGCAGCCGCCGTGCCAGTTCGCGGAGGTCGCAAGCAGGACGACGTAGCGAGCGCGCAGAGACCCGCAAGCTCTACGGCTTGGACCCCGCGATTCTGGATTGCTCGCCGCAGGTGGAGCCTCAGCTCATCGCGAAGCTGATGTCCATATTTGTCGGGAGCTGCGTCAAGTCACGTCGGCGGAGTTGTAGACCTTCACGATGAGCGACGACGCAACCGTGATTCGAGCCGACTTCCAGGCGGGCAAGGCCCACGTACAGAACGCAGCCGACCTCCGCGAGAAGCACTTGGCCGACCCGCGCCAGCATTCGACACCAGAGGCAGCGATGGGCCCCGCATGCGCGCAGATCTTCTGAGTAGTACGTGCAGCGGTATCAAGACGGCGGGGGGCAAGGTCCGGGCCGGGAACAACCGGACGCGGGGGGGGCCACAGGGCACGCCTGGGCGGCATCGCGGACCAGGAGGAGCTCTCGCTGATGGTCAGGGGTTTCCGCGTCAGCGCGGCGCACAATGAGGGGTTGGCCAAGCTGATCATCTCTCTGAGCGACTCGCAGTTGCAGAAGAGCTTCGCGGCCTGCCTCGAGCAGCAGGGCGCAGAGCACCGCGTCGGCATGGCGCCGAGGAGCAACGACGAGAGGGTCCTGGTATCAATTGTGCCGACTGGTGCTCGCGCCGATCGTCGGCGCGACAGTCTGAAACAAGTTATTCCCATTGGTTCTTCTCTCGAAGGCGCCTCGCAGGACAAGCCTGCATAACGCCAGAAAGGCTTATGTTAAAGTTCCTTGGGTATGCGCCATTTGATGGTGTTCGCAGGTGCAACTGGTCTTTGGATACTGGTGGGCGGTCTTATGCTGCTGGTACGCCCTAGCGGAAGTTGTTCATTCTGCTACTGGGCATGAAGCTGGAATGGCGTCTTCTGCGAGTGGTAGCCACTCTGGAATTGAGTGTTCTGCTACTGGTGCTGCTAATTGAGTGAGTTTGTTGGCCCATGATACGGGCCCCTCAGCTACTACATTGGGTGACGTGGCAGTGGTCTCTTCTGGTGTGAATCCTTACTCCTGTGATGTGTTGGCAGCTGTCTCTTCTGGCGTGAATTCGTATTCTCGTGATGCGGTCTCAGCAAACTGAACGCCACGGTGCCCATCGGCACCACCGCCAGCGAGACGCCGTGGAAGCCCAACCGCCCCACGTACCAGGACCAGGCCACCCGAGGCCTGCCCCCCCTCCACTGCCGCCTCCTCTTGTCTCGGTTCAAGGACTTGTTCGACTGCTTGCGCGATGATGGGCCCGAGGGGGCCCCGCTTGTTTTGATTTCCGAAATTCGCTTCTGGCATCGCTCCGAACGCTCCGAACTGTAAGCCGTGGTTGAGCGATTTCACCTCGGGTCTCCCGCCGTGGGGCTCTCGTTCTCGCACAGCGCGCACGGTAGGTCGCTCGATTCCGATGTGACCTCGGCCTTCGGCCCATTTCACTTTTGCCGCCGCCGCCTCCACCTCCTCCTCCTCCTCCTCCTCCTCCTCCCCTTCTTCCTCTCGCTGTTGCCACCCACCCGACCGGGCTTGTGCGGAGACGCCGGTCCAAACGACCCCGTTACAGGACGCTGCAGGAGGAGGACCGGGAAGGGA